CTCTCTCTCTCTCTCTCTCTCTCTCTCTCCCCGACACTACATTGAAAACGATGTCAAAACAGACAGGGGGGAGCGGGGGAGGCAGGTTCCAACATCACATTATAGATAATGTTGAAACAGATAAGAGACTCATGAAGAAAATGACGAACTTTTGAGAGGAAATCATTGTTGGCGCAATTTCAGGTTCATGTACATCATGCCCAATATGATTTGTATATAGGTGAAGGCAGTAGTGGAAAAAACAGTTCCCAATGAAGTTACGGTTCCCAAACTGAAAACCACGAACTCCGAACCTAAAACCGTGTACTCCAAACCCCGAACTCACCACACAGGCGCCAATGATTTAGAACCTCTTGAGGCACCACGACCTCCGAGCCACTTTTTGCTGACCTTGACTTTGTGTTTGCCTGAGAAAGGTAGTGGTGGTTTAAAGGTACAGCATTACATAAAGGTACAGAATTACAATACTCGGAGAAAAATCCCTGGAAAAGTCATAAGCATGTACCAAATATACATGAACCTATTACGAAAAAAAAGACAAACAACATACAATTTAGGTAGTTGTGACATCACACAGAAGGCCGGACATGATTGAGCTAAAGCCGAGCAAAAATGAGAGGTACATTCCCACGAATGAAATATATAAGGAACAAAAATCGGTTGGCCCACAGCTCGTGTGTGACAACAGCGCAAGGTTACTTGAACTGCAGCCTTTATGAACACAATGCACACTTACTGTGACTAAATGTGATCCAGATGGTGGCTCATAGACAGTCATACAACAAGGTGCATTGCGTTAGCGGGAGAATAGACGTAATGTTACATACTTCAATGAGTATGGGCAGAACCAAAGATCAACCAATATAGGATGAGCATTTATGCAGCGGAAGTCTGATAACGAACTGACTCACATAGACCGACTCACACCAACTGACTTACATGGCATCACTCCACACACATACAATCATGAGATGGTGGGGTCTGGGTCATTCATAGATGATACCCAGATCCCGTACACACATACACAGATGAAAGGTGGGAGGTAGATCACACCGATAGGTCACAAAGATAGAGTCTGATAGATCTCCGAAATGGTAGTCCAGAATGTCATATAACAAGATCAAAATGTCGAGGACCCAAGGTCACCAATGTCGGAGATAACAGAGTCCAGATGTAACCGGTGTCCAACTGTGATGCAGCCGAGTATCAATCTCAACAATCTCCAAGTCTCCAATCAGGTAAGTACCACAGTCTCGTATCACCGAAATCCAACAGGAAGAAGGACGAAGAGGAGAGAGAGAGAGAGGGGACTGGCGAGGGAGAGGAGGAGAGACCCTCCAAGCTCCCGATACCTCAGGCGGTAATAACCGCCGTGCAAGCTCAGTCGCCCGCTGCTGCCCCGCTCGCTGCTGTGCTATGCTGCGCTCCTGCTTCAGCCCCTGCGCTAAGTTTAGCGCATCAAACAGTGCACTAGCACTGACCATGCCGTGCCGGTAGAGTTCCGGTAGGCCGATCTCAATACCGAGGCAGATACCGGTACTTATACCGGTGGGCAATGGTCTGGCCTCAATGCTGCGAGGCCAGGCCAGACCCTGAACCGTCCAGATGGACGGTTCAGCCTCAATCGGTGGGCGGCAGCTTCAAGAGCGCCGCCAGGCCCAAACGAAGTGTCGTTTGGGCCTACCTGATGGGTGATAGTCCAAAATCAGGCCTTTAGGGCCTGTAAACCCCAAAGGTCGGGCCTTTAGGCCCTGGTGTGTCCCTCCGGCCCT